TGCCCCGGGTAGAATTTGCTCTGATTTCAGGCTGGCAGTCGGCCTGCGTTGGGTGGGGGGCTGTGGAGATAGGGCCGCAGCGGCCCCCATTCTCCTACCCACCCCGTTTCTGAACCTGGACGCTCACCTCACCCTGGTGTGGGTCTCTCTGAGCCAGCACCGGGTCCGGTTCTGGAGGCGAGCGCTGACCTGACAAGGGTCCACAGGCAGCCCTTTGATTTACAGCCCTTCTCAGGTACGGGTCTCGCCAATGGCGGGTTTGTGGCAAGCCCTGCCTTAAGCAAGTCAGCCGCCGCCATGTCCCAGGCGCTCACGTCTCCCTCCGTGTCACGCTCTGGTCACGTCTCACACACTGCAGATAGAAACACACGCACAGACAGATTGACATCGTGCCACTGCACACTTGATAAGACTACAGGCTCGCATAATCTACATACAGCTTTTAAAGGCTCTGGGAAGAACAACAACAACAACAACAATGTGCGTGTGTCTGGCTTTATTTCGACCCTCACCTTCCTGGAGCCAGACCTGCCCCGTCTCTGTGGTGGGCCTGCCTTTTCTATCTACCTGCCGATTTCAATCACAGCCCTTTGCCTCAGGAAACGTTCTTAGCCGGCAAAGTCTCTGGGCGGTTTCCTTTCCCACCCCGCACTCCACATTTCGTGGGAAACCTTTCACACATTCTCATGAAGGGGGATGGGTTTCCTCTCCTCTCGGTTGGGGATGAGCCATTGGCTGTTATTAGAAGATGGGGCCATTTGCTCTCCATGGAGTCAGCTTAGGTGTTTGCTGGGTGGGCTTGCGTGAGATATCCTTGGGTCTCTCAGCAAGTGAAAGGTTTATTGAAGTGGAGGGAGTCCCTCATTTGAGTCATGATGGACCACACTTCAGACTGTCGATTTTTGTTATTCTTCTCTTTATTTTTTACCCCCGTTTGGTAAATCTTACTTTGTTAGTAAGGTTTTAGCATAAAATATGAAGACTTTTCTGCATATGTTTATCCCCGCATTCTATGAGGGGCCTTCAGAAAGTTCAAGGGAAATGGACTGTCAAGATGATGTCATTTCCCCACAGATATGTTGAAGCCCCCTGTGTGCGCGCGTGCACACACACGCACGCTCGCTCGCGCTTGCATGTACACCAGGGGACTTCAGAAAGTTCATGGTCACGTTTGTTTTTTTGAACTCCTTTTTCATGAGCCGTCTGAAGCCCCCTCGTGTAGGCGTGCACAGAGCACCCGTAGCTGTAAAACGTGTGTGGGAACGTTCCATCACCTTGTCCTTTCGCTTTTCCGTGAACTTAATGAAGTGCCCCTCAAATACAAAGTGCATGGGTAATGTCCCCACCCCAGAGACAAAGCTGAGCTTTATAAAGACACCGACCATGAAAGTCAATAATAATGAAAATTAAAATGGGAAAAGACAGCAACAAACCAACCCAAAATGGAGGTCTTTGACTCCTGTGAGAACAGACTAGGACGGCGCCTCAGGAGAGGGACCCGTCGTGAGCCCCGGGCCGACCGGTGTTGACATTGGCGCACTGCATGCTTTCAGGAGTTGGTCTTTTGGTAAACATTCATGGTGCCAGACCGGGGCGTGTGAAAGAGCTGTATGGACTCTCTATACTGTAGAATTCACCCGTTGTAAATACAAGCCGGTGGTTGGTAGCGTATATAGTCACAGCCCCGGGCAGCCACCACGACGGCCACTTTGAGAACATTTTCATCCCCAAAGAAACCCTGTGCCCACTTGTAGTCGCTCCCCGCTCCCATCTGGCCCCCGGAGACCACGGTCTACTTCCCGTCTCCCTGAACGTTTCATGTAAATGGAATCAGACAGCGTGAGCCCGTGGTGTCTGGCTTGTGTCACTGTACGCTCTGCACTGCATCACTGTCAGGCTGCTCCGGGTGAGGGGCTAGCAGCCTGGACTTAGCACGGGCGTGACCGGCTGTGTGCAAACCAAGCAAGGAGCACCGTGCCTGGCACGCTCAGCACGCTCGCCAGGGAGTGCATGCCGCACATGGGCTGCAAGTGGAAAGGTCGGAGGTTACACCCCTCCCACCCAAAGGCACGGGGGGGGGGAAGGCCCAGCGGCGTCTAGCTTCCAGACAAGCAGGCTCTGAAAAAACCCTGTGTCCTGTGGAGCACAGCCCTACTGTGACACGCACGGGGTTGCCGTGAGGTGTGCAGCTCATGTGACGGCAGTCGGTCCCGGTTCTGAGCCGGAGCCGGTGTGAGTGTGCAGATGAGGTGGGGGCTCAGCTGCAGGCCCCTCCAGGCCCTCAGACCACTTTCCATAAGCGGCCATGACCATGGATCTGGCACCAAGTTGGAGGGGGCTCTCTGCCTGAGGGTCGGGACCACTGAGAGGTGGCACGGACACTGAGCGGACAGAAGTAGGCGGCACCTCCTGGGGGACCATTCGGATTCAAACCCAGGAGGCGCTGAGCTTGTCTGTCTGTACGGAACCCTCGTTCTAAGCCACCTCTCCCTCCTTTTCAACTGTTCCCCCAGGGCACCATCCCTAAGCTCACTGCCAAGTCCAACTGCCGCTACGAGGTGGAGTGGATCACCGAGTACGCCTGCCACAGGGATTACTTGGAGAGCAGAACCTGTGCCCTGAACAGCGACCAGCATGACATCGCCATTGACCTTACCCCGTTGGCACAGAACAGATGTGAGCTCGGCGCCCCGAGTCTGCGGCGTGGGGTGCCGGGGGCCGCGGGAGGGGCGTTCAGGCTGTTGAGAAAGTGGGGGTGAAACGTGGCTAATGTAACCCCATGCCCTCATGTCCCGTGCGGTGACGAGGCCTCCTGTCTGGTGTCTGCCTTCTCGTAGCGTCCTCCTCGCCCTACACCTCCGAAGGAAAGGAGTACACTTTCTACTTGGATGTCTGTAGCGACACGGAGCCGCACATCTGCAACAAGAAAGGGGCTGCCGTGTGCCAGCTGAAGAAGGGGGAGCCCCCACAAACTAAAGTGGCAGGAAAATACCAGAACCAGATCCTCCGGTGTGTAAACAGCTTCCTCCGCCACCCCTCCTCAAGTGCATTGTGTCTGTCCCTGGGAAACAGCTTAGTCCCCTAATGCCCCCGCCCCCCAGCCCCCTTCCACAAAGTGCAGGGGAATCAGATAAGCCGGCCTCCCTTCCTCTCCCACTCCGGCAGCCACCATTTGTCACAAAGTTAATGACAGTCAGGCTCGCTTTTCCGGCCGTATGCGACAGGGATGGGGCTCCTGTGGAAGCGGGCTGTTGTGCACGTTCGTCTCTTGGTGGGCGGCAGCCTCTCGGAGTGGCAGGAAGAAATTCAACGAATTGAGAACCGACTCTGCTCTTGTGCTTGAGACTCGGCATTGTTGAGGACTGAGTGTGCCTTTTCTCTGGGAGTATGGGAATCACAGGCGCCTTATTTAAAACTTAACACGTTTTAAAATAAGTCAAGGGGAGAAAAAATAAACCCAGGCGGCACACACAATCCTGGGGGGCCATTGGTGGGTTGTTCCATTCACAAAAGCACCCCGAGAAGCCCACCGTTCTTCCGAAAGCCCTTCCTGTGCCGGGGTCCCTTGGGGTGGGCCGGGCTCATGAGGGGTGCGGGGAACTCGTGGGATTCCTGGGCATTATTTATGTTGTACCAAACCCAAATCAGAGAGCAAGAGGCAAGTGTCTCTTCATGCTTGCAGGAAAACCTCCACCTCTTTCCTCTCGCCAGTTGTGGCTTTGAAGTAGAAGGATGACAAGCCCGGCATTTGGAACTCATTTCCTTGAGACCCCTTTTCCCCAGCTGGCCTGGGAGCTTGCTGTTTTATGTCAGCAGTGATTTGTTGGTGGGACGCAGAAGGCTTAATGCAGATATTTTTTTAAAAAAAAGCAAGTTTCTTTCTGGGTCCCACCAAGTCTTTATGTGTGGTGTACATTCATCCCACCTAGGTACTCAGACGCAGACCTCACCTTAATCTATTTTGGAGGGGACGAATGCAGCTCAGGCTTTCAGCGAATGAGCATCATAAACTTTGAATGCAATAAAACCGCAGGTGAGCACACCCGGGCTTTAACCAGCTTCCTTGAGTGGATGGGTGGGTGTGCGTGTTAGTATGGGTTTGGGGTGGGTGTGGGATAGGGTGGCCAGTGTGTGTAGAGGGATAGTAGATGTGGTGTCTGTGATGTGGGGGGAAATTGGGGAGTATGTGGGGTGTGGGTGATGTGAGTGGAGGGATATAATATGTGTGAGGGGTTTTGAGGATGGGGTATAATGTGTGTGGTAGGCGTGGCGTGAATGTGTTACATGGGTGTGATGTGATGTGTGCAAGTTTGGGGTGTAAGGTATGTGATGGGTTGGTGGGAATGAAGTGAGGGGGGTGGGGGGTGGTGGCAGTGGGATGCCGTGTGTATACGAAGTGTGCGTGCGTGCGTGCATGCGTGTGCGCACGCATGTACTGAGGCATGTGTGCTGTGCAGTGAGTGATGTGTGTTCTTAGAAGTGGAGCGTGGAATGGAACAGCTTCTTGGAGCAGCCCGAGTCTCCTTTGGACCTGGCCAGCCCTGGTCCCCAGACCGGGCTATTCTGGGGCTGTAATGGATAGGAGGACCCTCTTCCAGAGGCACACACATCTTGTTTCCATTTTCCTCTCTTCTCTGTTTGTTTTGGGAGTGGGCCCGACACTGGCCTTCCTGGGAGATTTTCCGCCTCGAGCCCTCGCTCCCAGGGCAGCCGAGACATTAGGGCTGGGGCTGGCTCCTCAGCCTGGTTTGAGTGGGCGGCCTCTTCTTGGATGTCGCCAGCTTCCAGATAACCCTTTCTGCTAAGTTACGATTTTGAGATGGCAGAATGTCACAGGGCAAGCTGCATGTTTGGTTTTATCTAAGCCATTAGGAAACAGGTCTTGACGTCTCAGGGACACTGGCATTTCAGAATGCTGCCCTTATCTTGAAGAAGTTCTGGTGGTCTAGTGGTTTCCAGTTGGGCTGCAATCCACATGGTTGGCAGTTTGAAACCACTCCAGGGAGGAAAGACTGGGCTTTCTACTCCTGGTGAACGGTTACAGTCTCAGAAACCCACAGGGGGGTGATGCTACGAGCCAGCATTGATTCGATGGCAGTGAGTTTTGGTTTTTCTGCCCTTATCATTGGCATGGTGGTGGTGGTTGGTGGAGGTCACCTGGCTGCTTGGCCTCTAAGCAGAAAGCCCTAACTGCCCCCAGTCCCAGGTGGCCACATCCTGCTTGTCCTTGAGTCTTCCTCCAAGGGTCCTGGTGGAGCTTAAGAAAGCACATTGGTTTGTGTTGCTGTTAAGGACATGCGCAGCAGAGTCACATACCAACTCATGGTTTCTGTAGGTACGATTTATTGGCATTCTTGGAGCTGGGCAACCACAAGGTGACTCCGTGACCCTTCGGTTTGGTCCCTTAGAGATAGTTCTTAGAAGAGCACACTGCTCAAGGCAGGCATTCTTCTTAACTAGTTAAGCAAGACTTGTTGCTTCGTTGTATTTTTTTCCCCCCTAGAAGACTTCAGGACATGTGTTTGCTTTAAGGTTTAAAGATTATCCCAGGGAAACAGTTTTGGGGGTTCATCCAGTTTCTGTGGCTCCAGAGGTGCTAGGGTCTGTGAGAATCTGGAATTCTGCTCGGTGTCTTCCCCCTTTGATACGAAGTCTCTGTGGCATCTTTGACCGAAATGTCCAGCACTGGTAGCTGGTGGCCATCCTGTTCTTCTGGACTCCTGGGAAAGAAGGCAGTGGTTCTTGGAGGAAATGAAGCCCACATTTCATGTCCTCCTTCTGTCCCTGACTCTCCTCCCCTGGTTGCTCTGGATGAATAACGACTAATTGCTGTCCCTCGGATGGCCGTTTGCAAGCTTTCAGACCCCAGACACTAGGCAGAGAGCTCGAAGTGGAACAGAGGCACTCCACAGAGGACTGGACCAGTGAACTGGACTGGCCTGTGAACCCATGGCCCTAAACCACCCTCCCGACCCCCAACTGAGAACCCACATCTCCCGAGGCATCGAGCTGCACATGCCCAGCCTCAGTAGCTGCTCCGTTTGCCATCATCATTGTTGTCATAAACAGGGCTCACACTGCCTTGGCATGGCAGAGCTCTTGATGACTGCCTGGGCCATGAGGCCGATTCCAAGGTGATTCACTTGAGATCTGTTGAGAGGCAGTTGTGCAGGAGGTGGGCTTTGCTTTGGGATCTGTTGGTCCTGGTGAGAGGGAGCACTCAGGAGGGCTTGTGATTTGGCTGGGGTGAGACAGGAACCCATTCTCTGGATGGGAGTCATCTGGGTGGCCTTTGGGTACTTGTCCCTTATGGGTGAGCTGTAAGAGCTGACCCCCAAGTCCCACCTGTCTACCCCATGTCCCCGGCTTCGGAGTAGCCAGTGCTTTGTCCAATTTGCTTCAAGTTATGGACACGTCCTTGGTGAAGTCTAACACTGCACCCTACACCCCCTTGTGAAAAGGGCATTTCTTCACATCACCTGATGACATTCGCGATACCCAAGGATCAAACCCCACTGCCATCCAGTCAAACCTGACTGTGCAGTGGATTACGCACTGGGGCCGCTAACTAACCCCAAGGTCAGCAGATTGAGTCCAGCAGCCGCTCTGTAGGAGGATGACCAGGCTTTCTACTCTCGTAAAGAGTTACAGTCTTGGAAATCCACGGGGACAGTTCTATCTGCCCTGTCCTGTGGAGCCACTGTGAGTCGGAATTGCGAATGAAGGAAGCACCACAAGCCAGGGCTTTGTCAGCCTGCTGGGCTGTGAGTGTAGCAGGGAGACGGGCCTGGGACGCTGGGGTTTTGTGGAAGGGTTCCCCGCCAGGCAGGAGCTGGGTCATAAAATATTTATGATTCCTTCCTGCTCCGGATTCAGTCCTCCAAAATCTGGGCAAACTCGTCTGGACCATCAAATTATTTCATTATGGCTTTGCTCAAATTTAAACTTAGAGTCTTTTGAGAAGTTGCCTGGGTGGATTTTGTGCATATTGGCTAAATGTAATGACGATGTGTTTCTGAATGTGAATGTGTGTTAATTGGCTCTGTAATGTAATGTGGTTTATAGTTTAACTTGGATCTGCAGGCATTGCTTATGCTCCTGACTCTCTAAAGATTCATGAATATTTAAGAGGCAAAGGTGCATACATTGACTCTGTTGGCCATGCTATAAGAAGGGGCTTCGAAAACATTGCTGGCAACATGGCCTGGTGAGGGAGCGGGATTTTTCTCCACAAACGTTTTGAAGCCCCTCTGGGGCACTGGTTTCACTTGCATGTGGTTTGATGCACTGTGGCGCCTTATCCATCATAGTGATTTGGCCAAGCAAGGACATTAGATCATTTGGGGGGGGGGGAGGTGAAATAGATGAGGAGGCTTCAAAAAGTTTATGGAAGAGCGGGAGTGAGAAAAAAACAACAACCCGGAATTTCCCCATGAATTCGCAAATAAACAACTGCCCACCAGTTCAAGTGGCTCAGTACACTAATGATTTTTTTTGCTCCTCAGTTCAGGGTGGGTCCTCGGGGAGCTGGACTAGAGGTGGCAGCTGCTCTGGGAAGCCCCTGGGTGGGTGTGGGCCCTTGCCTTTGACCCCTCTTGGCCCCCCAGGTCTCTAGCATCAGGCCCCGTGAGTCCTCGGCAGGGAGGCCATAATGAAGTGGCCGGTCCACTTTTCACTGCAAGGTGAGGCTGGGAAGTGGAGCTCAGCCGGGTACGTGTAGTAGAGTGAAGCATTGGATGAACAGGTGGCCCAGGTGGCACGGTCTTGGCCACCGAGAGGACCAGCCAGAGCCGTTGGGGCGGAGGGCGCCCTGGCTTCTGAGAAGCCCCGCCCAGTGGCCTCAGGCCTCTTGATGCCGCCCTGTGACAGTGGCGTCAGAGGGGACGTGTGGGACCTGGGAGTCAGGGTGGGGTGTTGTTAGGATTGGGTGGTTTAGGGAGAAGCAGTGAAAGGCTCAGTATAGAAGGGGGCTTCTAAAGCTAATGGTGCCCAGTTATCAAAAGATATAGAGTCTGGGGTCTTAAAGGCTTGAAGGTAAACAAGCGGCCATCTAGCTCAGAAGCAACAAAACCCACATGGAGGAAGCACACCAGCCTGTGCAATCACGAGGTGTCAAAAGGATCAGGTATCAGGCATCATCAGAACAAAAAATCATATAGTGAATGAGGGGGGCAGTGTGGAGTGGAGACCCAAAGCCCATTTGTAGGCCACTGGACATCCCCTTACAGAAGGGTCTCGAGGAGGAGACGAGCCAGTCAGAGTGCAGTGTAGCAACGATGAAACATACAACTTTCCTCTGGTTCCTAAATGCTTCCTCCTACCCCACGATCATGATCCCAATTCTACCTTACAAATCTGGCTAGACCAGAGGATGTACACTAGTACAGATAGGAACTGGAAACACAGGGAATCCAGGGCGGATGATCCCTTCAGGACCAGTGGGTTGGAAAGGGGGAACTGATTACAAGGATCTACATGTGACCTCCTCCCTGGGGGACAGACAACAGAAAAGTGGTGAAGGGAGACATTGGACAGGGCAAGATATAACAAAATAATAATTTATAAATTATCAAGGGTTCATGAGGGAGGGGGTTGCAGGGAGGGAGGGGAAAAATGAGGAGCTGATGCCAGGGGCTTAGGTGGAGAGCAAATGTTTTGAGAATGATGAGGGCAATGAATGTACAAATGTGCTTTATACCATTGATGTATGTATGGATTGTGATAAGAGTTGTATGAGCCCCTAATAAAATGATGACAATAAAATAATTCAGAAACAAAACTTTTAAAAAAGGGGGCTTCTAAACAGTTTTGGGGAAATTCCATATATTTTAATTTCATTTGTCCACAAACTCCTTGATGCCCCTCATGCACGGCATGTGGAGGGTTCTAGAACCCTGTCCCTGCTCCGCCGCTCGCCCCATCACTTGTCCCCATCCTCGGTGTCTGCTCTCAACATCTCTGCAGAGGACCTTGCTTATTGGGAATATTCTCCCAAGACCAGTGGGATTGCACTTTGCATCGAGGGGGCCCTGGCCGTGCATCTGACATGAAGTGGAAGCCCCCTGGTCTTGGCCCCTGGAGGTCTGGGCCTGGGAATTTTAACCCCACCGGTGGCCCTGGGTCCATCTTATGGTTCCTTCCCTGGCTCCTCGGACACCTGAGGCGTTGTCATCTCCTGGGGCCTGATACCCCACCCCATCCCCCTGCAAATCCACAGCAAACAATGGGAGAGGCAGCCCGGTGTTCACGGGGGAGATAGACTGCACATACTTCTTCACCTGGGAGACCAAGTACGCCTGCGTCAAGGAGAAGGAGGACCTGCTGTGTGGCTTCAGTGACGAGAAGAAGCGCTATGACCTGTCCCCTCTGGCGAGACACTCGGGTAGGTGTGGGGCTGTGTGTGAGTGTGTGTGTGTGAGTCAGTGAGAGAGAGAGACACACACATGGACGGGGAGTCCTCTCCCAGGGTGGCTTTTCAGAGGTTGGCGACTGTCTTTGCTTCTTAGACTCAACAAGATTCCCTCAGGACTCTATTTTCCTCCCAGCTCTGGGGGCTGGAGAGCCGTTTCAAGACTCGGTCTCCATGCTGGTGATTCCTTTGAAGGGCGTTCCCTTGGCTTAGCGGGGCTGTGGGTGACCCTCCGCGTTCCAGGGCTGCCTGCAGGTTCTTCACACGCTGCCTTTGCCCCGGGTGTGCCTCCCTCGTATGTGACACCAGGCAGAGGGGATTGAGACTCGCCCAGCCCTGCCATGACTCAGCTGATAACATCTCCTAAGAAAGAGCCTGTTACCCTAAAAAGGTCATTGCTCACAAGCACAGGGGTTAAGTCTTTACCATAACTGCTTTGAGGACACAGTGTACCCCATGTACCCCATGATGGGACCAAGTACTTCATGACCTCTGGGCCCTCTCCTTTTGGAATGCCCGACAACCTTTCACTAAGTGACATCCCCCACCCACCCCCTTTCCTCTTGCCACAGTGCGGGAACAGAACTGGGAAGCTGTGGACGGCAGCCGGGCAGACATGGAGAAGAAACATTTCTTCATGAACGTCTGCCACCGCGTGCTGCAGGAGGGCCGGGCAAGAAACTGCCCCAAAGACGCTGCTGTTTGCTCTGTAGGTGAGTGGGGCGCAGGGGTGGTGGTGGTGGTGGTGGTGGGGGAGACGGACCCAGCTGTACCCGTCTGCATCAAATGGTAAGCTCTTCCCCTGACTTCCTGAAGCCCACTCCTCACTTCCTGGGTTCAGCCTAGATAAGGACAGTAAAGAAAACGATCCAGTGACGTGACATGCCCTTGGCAAAGCATGGACCTTGGCCGATGCTGTGGGATTGGCCAAAGCCTTCTGATGTTGGCGCAAGCCAGCTGCTAACTGGTGACCCAAAGACACACACTTGGAAGTTTGGATTTTCCTTCCACTGTGGAATGTGAAGGATCGTATCAACAGAACCTGTGTAAAGGTGATTTTGGTGGTTTTAAGGAGTCCGTCTGTGGCATAAGGAGCCCAGGTGGTGTAATGGTTACTTGTTGAGCTGCTAACTGCAAGGTCAGCAGTTCAAAACCACCAGCCTCTCCAAGTGCGAACGATTTGGCTTTTCGACTCCCCTAAAGAGTTGGGAACCTCGGGAACCCAGAGGGGCACTTCTACCCTGTCCTCTAGGGTAACTTTGCTGTGAGTCAGCATCAACTCCATGACAGCGAGTTTGGAGTTTGGAGCCCTTGACTTTAGCCATAGAGTCAGCGGGTCAGCCCCGCCCCCCCACCCCCAACCTCACTCCATGGCTCCTGGGAAGGCTGGCCTGGCCATGTGCTTCCAACAGTTCCCCACCCTGCTCTGTACACTGGGGGCACCTTGGCCTTGACTCAGTGGTAGCTCATAACAGCAGTGACTGCCTGGACTGGCCCAGTGGGTGTGGCCAGAAGAGTCTTATCCTCCAGCCCAGGCCTGTCCACGGAGAGCATGCACTTCCGGGATTCCTTCTGTTCTCATCGTCAGTTCCCGGGGGGGACTTCCCTGTCTGAAATGGATGCTGAGCCCCCGAGCGACCGGTCATTTCAGCCTGACTTTGGAAGTGGCAGGGATGAGAGGAGACCTGTGTGTTTTGCAGACGTTAGGAAGGAGTGGGAGCCTGGGACCATCTTCGGAATGATCTCGGGGCACAGGAGCGATTGTGGGGCTCTTACCCTAAGGGAAGGAAGTCCTTCTGATCCGTGACCTTAGGGTGGCCTTCTTCAAGGTTACTTAGAAGGACTCTTGCAGACAGATGGAATCAGAAAGCTCCTGGACAGAGTGCTAAGGGTGCCCTGGCCAGCCTGCTCAACAGGTTTGGTTGCTTCCTGCTTTACCCAGGGATTGCCTACAATCGCTTGGAGGAACTTTCCAAAGCACTTGTGGCTCAGGCCAGAGTGGGCACAACGACAACTGGTTCTATCATCTGTGCCACAGCCATTTTTAAAAACTATGTCTTCTGACACCTCCTCCCACCCCAATCCTTTTCTTTTCCAGATAAGAATGGAAGAAGTAAAAACTTGGGGAAATTTCTAAGTTCACCCACAAAAGAGAAAGGAAACATTGTACTCTCTTACTCAGAGGGCGACGACTGTTACCACGGGAAGAAAATAATAACGAACATCACACTTGTGTGCAAGCCAGGTACCGTCGTCTTGAAAAAGGAGGCTGTGGTTTCACAGCTTTTGCCAGTGGGCCGCCCGTGACCTCTTGCTCTCTGCTGCTCCTCACACACCTGAGAAGGCCAGGTGGATGGGGGGCTGAGCTCCAGGTCGCTGCTGCTAGAGACCTGTCAGTTGGGCTTTGTCCTACCCTTCTCTCCTCCACAGCCAGCCTGGAATTGGCAGTGCCAGCTGCCACCACCAGGGCACACTTGGGGTGGTTTTTTCACAGATGCACTGAGTGTCTGGCGGACTCCCCTTCCCTGTGTCAGTTGATTTGCCTCCCCCGGTTGGGTGGAAGATACCTTAGCTGGTTCCCAACGCTGTCAGCATCTCACCCTTCTGGCGGCGTTAGCTCCCACCCACCTGTGTGGACAGGTGTAAGTTGCATTTACAGAGTTAGAAATCCTCAAGGACACCCATGCTGGTCTTCAGAATGGGAAGGGCAGTCCAAAGTGTTGGTACAAAATCCTAGGGCGATTTTCAACACAACGACCCAAATGTGACCCTGCTGTTGGTTGGTCAGCAGCGCCGTGCAGCTTCCGGCGGTGCAGCTTCCGTCTCGCTGGCCCTTGCCCAAGGAAGCCCGACTCATCAGTGGGCACCACGCCCACAGGGCAGGCAAGGCTCCCGTGCTCCCCTTCCATGGCCTGTGGTCTTGGGGGACACATGGAAAAGAGCCTGAACTGGGGCGAGATGGAGGTTGTAGGGCAGGTGAGGTAATGTTTCCCACAAAATCCCCACCGGACAGCCCCAGCCTGCCCTCAAAGAATGAGCAAGTGTGTTGTCAGAATAGAAAAAAAAAATTCCTCAGTGCAACTGCCCTGGCCTTTGCCTCCCTCCCCAGTGTGCCCTTGGCGTGTTCTGAGCATGTCTTCATGACAAGCCCTCAGCGTCATCCCATGCCATTTGATCAAGAAAAACCGATCAAGCTGACCCTGCCGCCGCCCCCCCCACCCCACCCCCCTCCAAATAGCCTCCACCACTAACCTCTCTGTCCAGAATTGAATTGCAGGTCCCCTCAGAAGCCACTGTCTTGGTGGCACCTCTTTAGTTTTGAAGCCACCCTAAGGAGACTAAGACCAGTGGGGTTGCTGAGAGAACTTGTCTGCTCCCGACCTCTGGTTTCAGAGATGTGCTTAAGCAGACTCTGTGTAGAGCCAGCGCGCGTGCCTGTGTGCACAAGCCTTGTCAGGCCAGCGCTTCCAGCTCACCCTTGCGCCATGTTTTGTAAATACTCTCAGATGTTTCACAGTTATGTTCTAATTTCGAGGGCCAGCAGGGGTGGGGTTGGCGGGGGCACTTCTTTGTTGGTAAGGCATGGTTTGCTCTATTTCAACCTCCCGGCTGTTGGAATAATAACCTATTCCCAGTGGGGCTAACCATGCTCTTTCAAAGCCTCTCTGTACCTCACAGTGATATATGAGGGGCTCGCAAAAGTTCATGGGAAAGTTGAGTTAAAAGATAATGGAATTCTTGCATGACCTTCTAGAAGCCCCCTTGTATTTCCTTTGGACACGTTCCCAGCTATAGGACTTAGGTCAAAATATGACCAGTTTTTGATGCTCAAATATATTTCACCTACTTTCCCGCCGCTTCGGCTAGATCTGTTTCTAATAGAGCTGAAGATAAAGGCCCCTGGCCGGCGCCAGCTGTGCCCACGCAAGGGTGGCAGTTCAAACCCTGCCAGTCATGCGACGGACACAAGGCCTGGTCACCCACTGTCCTTAAGGGGATCACCAAGGAAGCCCCAGGCGCCCCATGCGTGCGAGCTGGGGTTGGCCCCACCGAGATGGCGTTTGGACTGTGTCCCCGCCAGGCCTGATGTCTGTCGCAGTGTGAGTGGAGGGCATGGTGGAGGCTTCTCTGAGGGCATTCCTGATCGATTGCCCTCCTCCCCTGGCAGGTGACTTCGAAAGCGCCCCAGTGCTGATTGGTTTTGGGGATAGCGGTTGCTTCTACGAGTTTGAGTGGCGGACTGCCGCGGCCTGTGTGCTGGCCAAGACAGAGGGCGAGAACTGCACGGTGGTCGACTCGCAGGCCGGTGGGTATTTATTGTCTGCTGTCCCTTGAAACTGTTGGTTTTGTTTGTTTTAAGATGTTTGAATGGAGGTTTCTGATAGAACCACCTTTCGATTTATGCCAATCCTGTTGGAGCAAGAATCCCTGGGCACGCGGGTCGTTGGGAGATGTTCAAATACTGCCTCGTTGATATCAGTTTTGGGGACAAAACACCTGAGGGACATGAGGAACTAAGTTGTGCTCGAAAAGGCTTCTCAGGTGGTTCTAGACAAGAAACCTGCCCTCGGGAGACTTTACAAGCAGGCCCTTGTATTGTGGTCATCGTCCGGTCTTTGAACACACTGGTTGTTTATTAGACCTGCAATTATGGGCTCTGAATGGCATTTTAGGTTCACACAGTTAAAAGGCGTTGGTGGCGTGGGCAGCGTTTCCAAGGAAAATGTTAGTAATCGCAGCTCCGGTGGTCTGAGGGAAACACATCTCTATTCCGGGACGAAGGTCTCTCTCCTGACACTGCAGCCGTGAAGTCTCCTTGGCTGACTGGTTCCGACCGGCCTCACGTGCTTTGATGTGTTTGTTCCTGCTTAGGGTTTTCTTTTGACTTGTCGCCTCTCATGCGGAAAAATGATGCCTATACCGTGGAAACCGAGAAGTACAAGTTTTACTTAAATGTGTGTGGTCCGGTGACCATGGACTCCTGTGATCTAAACTCGGGGGCATGTCAGGTCTCAAAAAGGCAAGTACTCGGTTTCGGCGCCGGCTTCTCTTGGGGTATCACACACCATCAGGTCGCTTACCAGGATCCGGTCCCTCTTCTGCTGCTGCCCTTGTGTTTGCAAAAAGCCTTTTAAATGCTGGGCAGACCTGGCCTAAGCACTGGATGGTGCTTGGTGCTCACTCCCAGGGCAAGCTTGGACCCTGGGAGATGAGCAGTGGATTTATACAAAACTCTCATTCTGTGAGGCACCCTGGTGGCGCGGCTGGTTCCACGACGGCTCTGCAAACGCAAAGACTGGTAGTGTGAACCCAACAGCCACTCTGTGGGAGAGAGCCATGGCAGTCTGTTCCCATAAAGATTATAGCCCTGAAAGCCCTAACGGGCAGCTCTCCTCTGTTCTCTGAGGTCACTGCGAGTCCGAATCCACTCAAAGGCAGTGAGCTCTTGTTGTTTTTAAAAGTTCTGTGTGCCTTGGGCTTCTCAGATACTAAGCAGATTGTTTGTGTGCATTTCTGCATTCTGAATGGTACCTTGATGCAGATGTGCTATGCTTGGGATTGGGTCCCAGTGGGGTGAGGTGGGGGTGGGAGCCCTCTTAGACCTCAGCCTCCCTTCCCCACCTAAGGTGCCCCACTTAGAGATCCCTAGCCAGCACTCAGTGTGGTACAAAGCCAACCCGGGCCCTGGGAATTCCAACTCGCCGGTCCTTCCTGAACCTCGCAGCTCCCAAGTGTGAATGGCCGGCGGATCTCTTCTCAGAGTCCTTTGTCTGCCGTTTTAGTGACAAGAAGTCCTGGAACCTGGGCCTGAGCAACGCCAAGCTCTCGTATTATGATGGCATGATCCAGCTCAGCTACAAAGATGGCACACCCTACAATAACGAGAAGCACACGCCCAGAGCGACCCTGATCACTTTTCTCTGTGACAGAGACGCTGGAATAGGCATCCCTGAGTACCAGGTAGGAGTCGTCCCGCATGGACGTAGGCGGCAGGGAGGCAGGGGAGCAGAAGCCCCGCAGCCGACAGGGCTCTTGATGGTCCGGACCCCGCTGCCCTTGAGAAGGGGTCACTGCTCCAATCCCCTCCTGGAATCCCCCACATGGTACAGAAGAGCCCTGGGGAGCTCTTGGTTCAGAAGGCAGAGCTAGGAGTGGTGTGTTTGGTCTCTTCCAACTTCCCCTTCCCATCAGTAGTCTGTTGTAGCCTGTCCCCGAGCTGCGTCGTCCCGGGCCCTGCGCACCAGGGCCTCCTCTTTTGACCACAGGATGCACAAGAGCACCAGAACCCATCCCTTGGGTCAGTCTCACTCAGCAGCAGCCTGAGCCCCATCTTCATTTATTCCTGGGCCTTTGAAGAGAATGAAAGGAGATGGACCAGGTCAACTCTATAAAAATTTCTCTTAAGAAAAAAATTTAGAAAGATTGTGAAACATATATGTAACAAACGTTCGTTTCAAAGACTCACGGGAATAATTAGTCCAAAGGCTCAGTGTCCATGCGGAGACCAGGACACCTAGATGATGCCCTGCAGGTGAGCACTGCCGCGTCTCTGACAGGCGCTGCCCTGGATAGAAAGTGAGAAAAATGCCCAGTGAGACTCTGGTTAACCAAGCAGCCCAGATCCGCGGTCATTCCCCTTTAAACTGCCCCCACGGCCCAGCCGTCCTCCAAGTGTGCAGTGCACGCCTTAGATCAATCAGCTGGAGCAGATCAAAGGGCAGCCTGTGCCCAGGGAGAACACTCAGGCCAGGAAGGGGCCTGGAAAGGAAGGACCCAGGGAAATGGGAAAACCAGGGCCATGGGGGCAGAGCTCTTCTGCTGCACAAGGATGGCCCACAGTCACCGGATGGAAAATGGATCAGCCCTGCAGACTTGCGCCGGATAAATCCCAGTAAAAAAGTGAACGGAGAAGTGGCCCTTTGGACCTCTGTGAGGGCGCAGTTCATCAGGCCTTGTCTGCGTTCCCCACCCCTACCCCCCACTGCAGCAGATGCTCAGGACTCCTTCAGCAATGCCCTCTCTGCCCTGACCTGTTCTGCCTATTTCGTGCCTGTGGGGGCCGTACAGCGCCCCTGGCCCACTGGGGCCCATGTAACCTGCTCAGCATCACGGATGACCAGGCCCTCGCAGGGCTCAGGATGCCACTTGCTTCTCGGGCTGACTGAGATTCCATTGTGTGACGGGACCACATTTGGTTAAGCCATTCAGCTGTTGATGTTAGACCGTGTGTGAGCGAGACAGTTTTTTGTTTGTTTGTTTTAAATCCCGCAAATGTTGCTGTCAGTTTTGAAGCGTTGGCTCCTGTCCTGTCTCCTATCTGCTCCCTCCACAGGAGGAGGACGACGCCACCTATAACTTCCGGTGGTACACCAGCTACGCCTGCCCTGAGGAGCCCCTGGAGTGTGCCGTGACAGACCCCTTCACCATGGAGCAGTACGACCTCTCCAGGTGGGGACCCTCGGCATGGGGGGGGGGGTCCCCTGCCTGGTCCCATGGAGATGGTGCTGGTGACTCGGGAACTGACCCAGGGCAGTGCACAGAACTGAGAGTCTCCGAGGCCTGGTGATGGTCTCAGTGTGCTTGGCACGTCAGTGGAGGTCTGTGCCCTGATTTTGCCCCCCGAGTCAACCAAGCACCAGCCCTGAGGGTCTCCATATGTACCTGCCATCCACAGCTTGGGGGTGGGTGTGGGTGGGAAGAGGGCAGTCTCAGGGCCTATGGAGTTCAGGAAGATCAGCCAGGCTGTAACCCACCATGTCTGTCCTGCTCAAAAGCCCTGCAAGGAGCTGGTTCCTGCAATGGTCCAGCACCCTAGAGCAGGCATCTTACTTCGAATCTGCAGCCTGGCAAAGCCCGAAGGCAGCCCCAGCGGCAACTGGTTCGCCATGGACAACACTGGGGACCGGTCCACCTGGAGGAAGTACTACATCAACGTCTGTCGGCCCCTGAACCCGGTGCCAGGCTGCGACCACTTTGCCTCCTCCTGTGAGATGAAGTACAAGCGTCAGCAAGTGAGTTCTCCATCCCCAGCAGCTTGCGTGTTCTCCAGGGAGCACGTGCCCCATGGGCTGAGGGACTATTTTGGGATCCCAGACCCAAAGCGGCCTGGCGGCACTGGAGC